ATTTTTGAGATAGGGTCTTGCTTTATGCCCAGGAAGCCTGGGCTTCATTCCTCCTTCTTGTACTTCTCAGTGTAGCTGGAGATGGCATACACATGTCACCATGTCCAACTCTTGTGTTTCTCCTATAGCTAGGACTACAAGCATGTACACTGCACTCACGCACTGGTTCAGATGGAGAACTTCAGACCAGAATGTCTCCCTTACTTACTCCCTCTACCCAGCTCTTGTGGGGCAGGAAACCACAGAGCAGATCATGAAGAAACCCAGGAAATCTCCTGACACCCACATGTTTGAGACACCAGGACATCTCTGAACCTCCTGTCAAGGAGCCCAAGGGCCTCCACCCCAAGTTGCCACCTTCTCTGTCTGCTCAGCCTGGCAGACATGGTACCACTTCTGAAAGCAGCCATCTTCTCCTCCCTCTGGGCTTGTGAGTTTCCCCATCACTTCCAACTAAGAAAGGGATGAGGAAAGAAGGGATTGAAGTCATTTCATAGTGTTGCTTCTTCAGGTGTCATTTGTTGATGGCAATCTCTCTTCTTTGCTTGCAGTTGGACTCGGGCACTTGGAGCAACCTGAAATCATAGTTTCCAGAGCCACGGATGGCAGTGCCCAGGTGCCTTGTAAGGCATCCTTCAGTAGCTTCCGCAGTGTGGCCATTCACTGGTACCGACAGAAACCCGGCCAAAGCTTAGAGTATCTATTGTATGTCATTTACACTTCCAGTCAGCGATCTTTAGATGGGAAGAACAAGAAATTTGAGGCAAGTAAGAATTTTAGCACTTCCACAGCAACTTTGACGATCAATTTCTTAAAGACAGAAGATGAAGCTACATACTACTGTTCCCATGGCTACCACACAGTGTGAGAGTCCCCAGAGTAACCCACACTAGAACTACCCCAGGTCTGTTTACCCAACATGCAGAACCACAGAGGCTGCCAGCTGGGCTCCCAGCCTGAGCCTTCAGGCCCCAGCATTCCTGGGCTTCCCAGGGAGCTTCTCAGCTCTGCTTGTCCAGTGAGTTCCACCAGGGACAGCAAATTAAGGTACAATGGAAGGATGCATGGCCACTATTTGTCTTGATCCCCATAAAGCATAGTATCTTCTAGGTATTTATTACTTGACTGCA